AATATCAATAGGTAGAAGAGACATATTTAGACAAGAAAAGGGTTTAGAGAAAATTTGGCTGTAGAAAACTACTCCAGTGTAAAACTCTAAGCCATGTATTTTTTTTCACAGCATGGATTATAACCTATAATCACATGTCCATTTATGTGTTCATCTTTCAATGTCTGTAGTATCCTATAGATAATTGAGGCAAAGACCTGCATACCCTGAATATTTAACCCATGCCTGACAGCAGCAAAGAAGCATTACAAAATATTTTGAATGAGTGAACCAAAACTTGTAACAAGGAGGATCCTGGAAAGATGGTGGAGTAGAAAGCAGAAAGCACCAGGGATCTAACTACCCAACTAGATAACAACTACACTGGTAGAAACCATCTAATACAGTAGTTTGAAACTCTGAACTACATTCAAAGACTGCAACTTCCAGTGGAAGTTTGGAAGGTAAATGGTGCTTAATTTTAGTCAATTTCCCCCCTAAGCTCAGCAGTGGTTTCCCATCCCACTCCAAGCCCTGTGATAGGATGCTGCAAGTGTGTTCCTGGAGAAGTTTGCAGGCAGCTTGCAGGATCAGGGTGAGCATTAAAACTCAGTCCTCTAGGATCAGGGATATGTTTTCTGATCAGTCCTGGTTGCTTCAGAGTATGGAGTTACAGACACAGAGGCAAGCAGCATTGTTGCGCACATATACATGCATTCAACTCATGGATGCAACTGCTTCCTCTAGGACCAAAGTGACTGCCAAGGTATTCAAAGGGCCTTCTCAAATATCCTTTCATTTTTCCCTTTTTTAGGAGCCATACAGTTAAGAACTAAGACAAACAGAATCAGACCAACATATATGGGAATTTAGAAAGTTGCCACCCAAACTCAGGAAAAGGCACAGGTATAGAAGAGACTGAGAAGATCTTATGTTTATACTTCAAGCTGATCCTCAACAAAGGTCTGCAATAATGAAGAAGAAGAAAATAAAAATACCAAAAACAAACACAATAAACCAAGAGAAACTACCCCTGAAAAAGATCAGAGTCAGACCTACTAGTAAAAGACTTTAAAACAGTTGTCTTGATGGCATGGTGGTGCACACCTATAATCCCAGCTGCTCAGGAGACTGAGGCAGTGGATTACAACATCAAGGCCAGAGAATGTAGCTCAGTGGTAGAAATGTGTTAAAATTAAAAATTAATAATTAAAAATTATGAGTATGTTTTGGGGCACACAATGTATGATGACAGAAATATGTGAAGTTAATAACTGAAATAGAAAAAGATATGTATAAGAGCAATTTTTATGTTCTTGAAGTTAAATAAATTCAAATTAGAGTATTATAACCTTATGATGCTAAATATAATCCCTATGGCAACTACAAAGAAAACAGGTACAGATAGACACAAAAGAAAATGAGAAGGGAATTTAAATGTATCATAAAAATCAACTGAATACAAAATAAAACAGTAATGCAGGAAATGAGAAACAAAAAGCTATAAGGGATATTGAAAACAAAATGACACAGAAAACACCAAATTGACAGAGATAAGTCCCTCCTTGTCTTTAATCACATTATATGTAAATGCATTAAACTCTCCAATAAAATATCAGATTGACAGAATGAAACTTCAAAAAAATATAATTCAACTCCACGCTGTCCCCAAAGTTCCTTTAACTCCAAAGAAATAAATAGGTTGAAAGTGAAAGGATGGAAAAAGATATTTTATGCAAATGGTTATGAGGATGACTATACAGATGATCCACTATCGATAATGTGTAGTTGTACAATTTCTCAATTTACAATGGTGCAAATGCATACTCACACATTCTGTTTTTTATTGTCAGTACAGTATTTAGTAAATTACACGGGATATTCAACACTATATTACAAAATAGTCTTTATATTAGATGATTTTGCCCAACCATAGGTTAATGCAAATGTTTTGAGCACATTTATGTAGTCTAGACTAAGATACAATGTTCAGTAAATCTGGCCCACTAAAAGCATTTTTCACGTATAACATTTTATTTAATCATGACATAATCCCATCAAAAATCAAGGAGCACCATTCTTATTATCAGACAAAATAGACTTTAAGTCAAAAAAAGTTACAAGGTACAAAGAAAAATATGTACTAATATTAATATCCAGAATACATATAGCTCTCCTAAAAGTCAACAGTAACAACAATGATTCAAAAGTGAGCAAAAGGGTTGAATAGATATTTCTCCAAAGAAAATGCACAAATGACCAATAAACACATGAAAAGATGCCAAGCATGACTAATCATTAATGAAATGCAAATCGAAACCACAATGACATACCAACTTTACACCCCATCAGGATGGCTACTTCCAGTAAATAATAATTAATAATAATAGCAAGAGTTTGTGAGAATGTGGAAAAATTGGAACCCTGCATACTGGTGGTAAAGTACCTGCCATTATAGAAAGCAGTTTATTAGTTTCTTAAAAAAATAATAATAAAAAACTATTCCAATTTCATTTTGGAATATAAACCCAAAAGTGTTAAAATAGAAAGATATCAAAGAGATGTTCATATACCCATGTTCATAGAGCAAAACAAGAAAGGGTCTATGGATGAATAAATAAGCAAAATATGGCGTGCACACACACACACACATGCATGCAGACATCATTCAGCCTTTAAAAAAAAAAAGAAATTCAACAAGGATGATTGAGAACATTAAGTAAAATCAGCCAATCACAAAAAGACAAATACTATATGATTCCATTATGTAAAATTCCTAGAGTAGTCAAACTCATAGAGAAGGGAAATGCCATTCAGAAGCAAAATCAATTCAATTCATAATGAAAGTAATAATAGAATTCTGGTCTTTAAGACACTGAAGGTCTGGCATGGGAGATGGTTATATAAGAAATAATTATGATACAATGGAATGAGAATAAAGTGATTGATTAAGATAAGTAGTACTGAACTTTGTCAAAATCAAGGTGACTCTATCAGTAGCTATAGTATTTGGTTTGTGTGGTTTTGAGAGCTGATTCAAAACAGGAATTCCTAAAACAATGTTAGCCATGGTGCATTCAGAAAGAAGTGTTTTCACTAACATGATTCTCCCAGGTATGTAAAATATTGGCTTTCTACATTAATATTAAAAGTGCTATTTTAATGTTTCTTTAGTCTATTCCAGATTTAAGCAATATGCACAATTCTGCTAGATCACCTCCTAGGTTAAAATCAGCCTATACAACCAGAAAAATGGGGAGTTGTACTCCATGTATGTATAATTTGTCAAAATATATTCTATTTTCATGTATAACTAAAATGTGGCATACATACACAATGGAATTTTACTCAGCAATAAAAGAGAATAAAATCATGGCATTTGCAGGTAAATGGAGGGCGTTGGAGAAGATAATGTTAAGTGAAGTTAGCCAATCCCATAAAAACAAATGCTGAATGTTTTCTCTGATATAAGAAGGCTGACTCATAGTGGGCTAGGGACGGGGAGCATGGGAGGAATAGATGAATTCTAGATAGGGCAGAGGGATGGGAGGGAAAGGAAGGGGGCAAGGGATTAGCAAGGGTGGTGGAATGTGATGGACATCATTATTCAAAGTACATGTATGAAGACAAAAATTGGGTTGTCAACATACTTTATATACAACCAGAGATATGAAAAATTGTGCTGTATTGCTGCAGTCCGGCTGCAGCAAAATAACCGGGGGGTGACGAGCAACTTGTGTACACTGATACAGCAGGAGTGGGAGCCGTTTATTGTAGGACAGGAGGGGTACATATACGTTACACACAGCTTATCTTAATTAACATAAACTAGATATAGCAGTTAACCAATAAGAAATCTCCACACTTAATGTCTCCCTGACGTTACTTCACAAACCACTCCCTCTGGCAAAATGCCAGGCGCCATCTTGAATTGTTTATAGACCCTAACACTGTATATGTGTAATAAGAATTGTAATGCATTCCACTGTTATTTATTATTTATTTATTTATTAAAAATCAATTTTAAAAATCAGCCTAAGCTTTAAGGGTTTTAACACATTAGCCTCATCAACTATTTGACCAATGAAATAGGAAAATCATTCATTCCAAATGGACACATACCTCTCTTTTGTGATCTGCTCATACAGTTTCAAATTACAAATGTGCACAGGAAAATATTTTTCTTTTCACAGGCAAGAATTTAGAGACTAAGATTTGGGTCTTGTTTCACTCCCTAAATACCTCCTTCCTCAGCCTCCCAAGTCACTGACATTACATTGTGTGCCACGACATCTGGCTGAAATGTGATGATTTCTAAGCCATTTTCTAACACTAATTTCTGTGATTTCACAATTCACATTTCTGATCAATACATCCATAATAATGAAAAACAAAGTATTTTGAAGCGTAGAGTTCACAACACATCTATGCAAAGTTTTCCCAGGCAAAAGAAGTTGATGTTCATGATTGACTTTTTCACATTCTCTTTCTTTACCTGTTAGGATTATTACAGGGGATCCAGTTCACTTGAGGGTCTGGGATATCCTCCAAGTATGGGTAAATAGATTCCCTGCTGAAATTGTAACCATAAATACCATCTTCTGGAGTCACAATTATATGTGCTCCCTGTTTAAAAAAATATATAGTTAATTAAAACATTTCTCAAATAGGGAAAAATTGCAAGGGGTAGAGATGCAAGAGAAACTGAATGGCTAACATCCATTTGGGTCTTTTCTTCCCCTTTCAATCTTATTTGTTTGTTTTCTACATTGATCTAATTTGTTTTCTTTTTCCAAATTCTTTAATCTTCTAATCCTGCCATTGCTGTTCTAGATAGTTTTTTCATTCTCTCAAAGATGTTAATAATTTTTCCAGACCATTCTCTGCAGTCATGAATTATATAACTACCTCTCCTGAAATCAATTCCTCCCCGAACTTTGGACAATTATTGTGACTACTGTGCCAGGATTGATTTATAACTCAAATTCTTTGTTTACTTTATCTTCTGCTCTAGCTTTCCTCTGCATGGCACCCTGAAAACCGGATTCCTGCTCCAATGAAGGAAGAGAGTCACACAACAGTTACCTGAATTGTGCTAAGGTTAGAAATACTGCCTGAGCTAACATGAGCACTTTTGGATTGGAGGGTCACCTTGAAGGTCGCTGTGATCTTAAAAGACATAATTGGACTAATTGAGAAAGAGCATCAGATCTCCTGATAACCTCATGTTTTAATATACATAAGAATATACTGGGGCTCAGCAGTAGCACACTTGCCTGGCACATGTGAGGCAAATGGGTTCGATTCTTAGCACCACATATAAATAAATAAAGGTCTATCAACAACTAAAAATATATTTTAAAAAATATATATACATCAACAGATGGTATAATATGTATGTGCCTATAAACTTCCTCACTTATTTCTGATCTATACCTGACCTATGAATATCTTATTTAAATCTTATTTGTCCAAACCACACATTTAAACTGCATGTGCTTTGCTTCAAACTTACGTCTTCATTTAACTCCAGGACTTACTGTTCAATAATACATATACTTTTATCCTATAATTTGAATGAAGCTTGTAGTATATAATACACACTTGCAAGTCATTTGTTAACTTGAATCATGTTTTCAGATTATAAATTTACCTGAAAACCTGCAAACTCTTAAGGACACAAGAGGACACTGAGGCCATGAATACTCTGATAGTACCTGTTCCCTGACCCATCTATCCTCCACGCCCATCTGTAGCAGAAAAAAAGAATATGTTAAATTTATAGCAAGTTCCTCAAAGGTCTGCTATTTCTTAATGATGACCAAACCATTCCTTTCTTAGCTTTGCTCTCTTTGTTGGGAGTGTAAGAGTGTCCTTACTCTGTTGATTTTGAGAGTAAAGTGGGATTCTAACTGTAAAACAAAGGATCTTGGCTATCCTGATACATACATCACCCAAAATTGTAACTGACCCTGACAACATCTCTCCCCTGGGACCCTATCTTTCTCATAGAATCTAGCACACTGGAGAGATGGCAGAGATGGTACCTGATTTGCAGCTAACGTGATCGCTCCTTCCAAAACATCAATATTCCTGTTCATGAATGCCAATGCTTCTTCAGGAGACACTAAGGTTAGGGGGTCATCAGGCAGTCTCACCGCATGTTCATAAACAGCTGCGATAAAAGTATCCAAGGAGTTGACTTTTAAGACACAGAAAACCGAAATTGCCGCATAAGCCAGAAACTGAGTAGTAGTCATGCTGAAGTCCAAAGAGTATTGCAAAACAGAGTGTGTCTTACTATTTATAGACGAAAACACAAGTGGTCACATGGTTCCTGGGACTTAGTACTTTAAAAACTAAGTGCAAAGACTAATTTTAAGAAAACTTTGTGCCTTCATATTATCCTTAGGCAACAAAAGACCTTTTCATCCTTTTTGCAGCAATGATTAGGGAAGAGCAAATAAGGAAATATATTCATATTAGTTTGCCAGGACTACAATATATCACAATCTGGGTGGTATAGATAATAAAAATGCTTTGTCTCATCATTCTTGAGGTTAGAAGTTCAGGGAAGGTGTCAGCAGGATTGGTTCCTATTCAGGTTCTGAGGAAAAGATGTGTTCCAGACCTCTGTCCCTGGCTATCTTTTCCCTATGTCTCTTCAGATGGTGTTGTCCCTGTAAATTTCCCCTTTTTCATATTGGCATCAGTCATTCAATTTAATGTCTACCTGATTCCAGAATGACTCCATCTTAATAAATTGTCTCCCAACACTGTTTCCAAATAAGGTCACATTCAGAGGCACTGGACTTCAACATTACTTTCTTCGTGTGAGCACTTGAGTTCCAGGCCTCCTGAGTCACACAATAAACACCAGCTCCCTCTGCTTGTTGGCCTCCTTTGGACCTGCCACCCATCCAGGTGAGCAAGAAAGGCTAGATACTTTGGAAGGAGATGTAATGGTTACATAACAATGGATAAAAGGAATCTTTGTATGAGTCAATAAGAGGTTAAAAAATACTAATTTGAACTTCTTCGATTAAAAATATTAAATGAAGACCTCCCAATGAGTTTCCAATCCAATATGTAAAAAACTTAGCAATCATCTCTCTCATCTTCATCACAAGAAAAAAGCCAAACTACTAGAAAATCAACAAACTTTTCTTAGAAGCATCAGAGAATTGAGGTCATAGGACAAATTGTCGCCCTTATAATTGGAGAGACAGGCAAATACAGAAGACAAAAAATTAAAGGACAAGAGTCTGATGTGGAGCAAGTGCTCTGACCTGCAGTGGATGAATTGCTAGAAACTCAGCAATACTGGGCAATATTGACAGTTAAAACTCTTGAATGGGGTTATGGAATCTCTCTCTCTCTCTTTTTGTGTGAGTTTTACCTCTAGAAACCCTACCAGATTCTCAGGGAAAATGGATAAATATTAGGGTAAAAATCTCACTGTGCTTCCTGCGGAGGAGAGGGAAAATAAGATGGTTGTGAAATATATCCAGAACACTCTCTTCTCTTCTCCTTAGCAAAAGCCTGCCCTTAAAGGAAAGCATATTACCAGGGCCTAATCTACCTACTTCAAATCTATCTCCTTTTACCCTTCCACAAGGGAGGATAAAATCTCAGCCCCAGCTGCCTCTACCTGGTTCACGATCCTCCTAAGGATAGAAGAAAAAAGCTTAGATGCAATTGTGAAGTAAGGTTACAGCCCTGGCTGGGTACAGGCTCACTAGAAGAATGAGACCAATCATAGTACCATAGGACACTTTCCCTGTCCCTGAGGATTACCATGCTATCAATCCGTTTCTAACTTACCTGTCGTATAGGAGACTCCAGATGAAACACTGCACTTCTTGCAACACCATGTCCCACACAGGACCTGAGAACAGGAAGCACCAAGAGCCAATGAAATCAACTGCCTCTTGAATGGAAAATGGACAGCTCACTGCCTAGACAGAGGGAAGACCCACTCTGTCTGAACTTTGCGGACAGAGCAGCAGGTCCCAGAAGGAACTCAGAAGCAAGTCCTGCCAGTTCAAGCAGGGAGAACCAGAACCAAGAGAAGGAGCTGAGAACAGACTGAGTGGATTAACACTGCCTCTTGCACTTTGCCTGGTGACATCTGAAAAGCCATGTACACACTGGTGCACCTGTATATGTGGTGAAAGATTAGAAGTCTGCCTCTGTGTTGTTGCTAAAATATATATAAAATATATAAGTATATATTATACAAAAAATTTATAAAATATATAATCATGTATTTATTTGTAGATAATTAGTCATTGGAACTCCACGTCAATTTCCCGATTGACCTTAATTTGCCTGATAAGTTGATTATGTGGTCAGAATATATATTCTTGACATAGGACTTAATAAAACTATTTTTGCATTTTTGAATGAAGCTCCTTAACATTATTGGTGGCCTTGTCACAAGACAAAATTACAACAATTTAGCTTAAAGATCTTGATTGCTTTTACTTTAAATTCCAGATTTGGGCAAAACTTCATTCCATAAAACAGAACAAGTGTTCCTGTGACCTGAGCAAAATAAGCTGGTTTTATAGACACAGAAGGCTGAAGAAAGAAACAAAAGGACAAAAAAAAATGGGCCTGTCATTTCAAAGTTACTTTCCTTGTAAAGTGAGACAGAACAATATAAAAATAACTAACTGGTTAAGATCCAGTTATTTCAGGTCACTTCTTTTGTGTAAAGATTAAAGCAGAGAGATCTTTATTATACTACCAACTGAAACTGGTCTGTTTGAGAAATTTGGTTGTTATTGCTCTGATTCTGATTTTTTCCGAGGGTCAGATAAACAGTATAATTCCATTTGGTGACACTGAACTTTAGTAATAAGTGATTCCATTTTGATTTTTTTTGCCTGTTCTATTGGGGTCCAGGGCAGGAGTTTAGTCCAAAACAATGGTTTCTTGTAATTTCTATTTAACAGCCTAAATTGGCTCTCAGGAATTTGTTTGGTTGCTTGTTTGTTTTGCTAACCAAGGAGTTATATTCTTCCTATCAGAAATACTAGATGAAGCCATGAGTGGCTTTAGTCTCCAAAGAAAGAGACAAAGGAAGGGAGTCATGTCTGTGAACGTTGAGTTTAGTATGACTTATAAGTCATGGTAAATTAAATAGGAAATGAGGAGAGGAAGGGAGGAAAGCCAGAGGTGAAAGAAAATAAAAAGCATGAGTGGGTATTAAAAGATATGAGGTAAACCAACTTCAGGAGGAGTAGTTCAGTTGTTTTCTCATGGAAAGTAAGGGCTGAGAAATGACCATGAGATCTGATTTTTGAAACTTTCTTTGATAAAAAGAGTGCAGAAGTCTGCTTAGATAAGACCACATGAAATAAAGGTTGGTGAAAAAGCTGGGGCCATTATGCATAACCACCTTCCAATGGTGGTTTATGAGAAACAAGCCTAAGAAGGAAGCAGTGTAAGGCCATAAAGAGAGAATGTACCCATATCCCACATGGACAGAAGAAATCCTGCCACAATGCAGTGTCATCTAGGATCTAAGGGTCATGGTTCCTATAACAAGAATCTAAGAAAGATGGAAATGGGGATACCAAATACATTTTCTGCTGCTTAGAACATCTCTGGCTTCCTGGTACTGGATTAAATTATATTGGGTGGGAATAAATCCCTAGGAGAAGTCTAGAAATGCAATTATCATACATTTTGTAGGGGTAAAAAGTATCTCTTAACTCAATGATCCTCAACCACCCGCAAGGACTCCAGAGAATCCATGTGCTCTCATGTGAGTCTCTTCCCAGAGGTAATCAATGACCAGCCAGGTAAAGGACTCAAAGAACTCGGAGAAATGCACCAAAAGTTATTAGGGGAAGAGAGGACAGGGTGGCCCTTTCTAAGAAAGCTCCTGGCCTTGCACATGCTGCAACAAATCTCTGAGTACTTCAAGAGGGCTTAATCAGAATTGGGTAGATCCTAAGGAGAAAAAAGTCAAGATGTAGTCTGAAGGAGATAATTTATTTTTATTTGCATTCCAAGTGTCTAATTTTCTTGCAAATAGATCATAAGAATCAAGTAAACTACGATAAAAAAAAGATAGTGGAACAATTCTAATTAGCTACAAAATTGTTCATAATTACTTGAAGAGATGCCCTGATTTTTTATTTGATATTCAAAGTCCACCCTGTGTAACGACAAGTGACATGTATTAATTGGGGTTTATAGGAGCAATGAAAACGATAGGAGATATATAATGATAGGATAAAATGATAGCCTATATTTGATGTATGTAAATAAAGTGATAGGACAGATATCCTATGTCTTATATTATTTATTATATTGATTATAATAATTAGGACATATATGATACTGTTTTTCACAATTATAGAGACTGAGACATCTCAGGAGCTGACATCTATCTGCAAGCTGGGGACCCAGGAAGGCTGGGGCAATAGTTTGAAGGCCTGAGAGATGGAGAATAGATGATGCCAATTCCAATGCAATTTGAAGGCCTGAGCACCAGAAGCCAGAAGATCTACATTCTAACTGAAGCATTCGGGCAGAAAATCAGCAAAACCTTCGTCTGCCTTTCTGTTCTACTCAGGCCTTCAAGGGATTCATTGATGCCCACTCACATTGGGTAGGGCCATCTGCTTGACTCAGTCCACCAATTCTAATGCTAATCTATTTTCAAGACACCCTGGCATATAAAGAGAGAAATAATGTCTAGCCAGCTACATCCAGTAAAGTTAACACATAAAATTAACCATCATTGGATGGAAGCAATATTTGCCTACATTAGAAAAGTTGCTACAAAAGAATTTTTCTAGGCCCTCCTCCCACTTGAATATATGTTCAACTATACATACACAGACTTACAGGTACACATACATGAAATGAGTTTTTGCTGCATCAAATAACACACACACTGTCATAGTCTTTTTCTATTGCTAATAACATCACCAAAGCCTGGATAAATTTTAAAGAAGAGAGATTTATTTGGGCTCATAGTGCAAGGCCAAGGACCTACATCTGGTGATGGACTTCTTACTGAGAGGTGCAGGGCATCACATGGTTTGAGACAGAGAACATGTGTGCCTATGTGTACTGGTCTCCTCTTCTCATTAAGCCACCAGGAGTTTATCATGGAGGCTCCGATCCCATGGTCTTATCTAATTCTTATCACCTCTCAAAGGCCTGATTTTCCACCTTCTCAATACTTCACAGTGGCAATTAAATTTTTTAATTAAATTAAAATTAATTTTAATTAAATTAATTAATTAATTGTTGGAGGGGAAAACCATATTCAAATCATAGCATACCCATTGCTATTTTAAGTCTTCTTTAGTTTATTTGCTGTTCCAATAAGTTTATGGCATGTATTCTGACCGGACACCAAGGGCTCTCTCTCTCTCTGTCTTTCCCCTGTCTCTTTGTCCAACTAATCCTGCAAGACCCTGGTGAAGGGGACCATTACAAATTCCCAGGTCCCTGTCCTAAGCGCAAAGGATCTTTTCAAACACTCCTCCATAGAGAGCCATAACTAAGACAGACAAAGGGACTCCACTTTGGCTCCTTAGACATCCATCTCTTGAAACCTAATCAAAGAAAGCAAAGGATTAATTCCAATGCAGAGCTTGGTTTCCAGCCCAGGAGCTTTGTTTCACAGCATTCCTCCTAATGCAACACAAGGTTGTAAAAAGTCAGCAGGATTTGGTATCCAAAGATTCAGCCTCTTATTTTGGGTCCAATAATAGAGGAACTTTGGGTGAAAGTGCGGCAAATAAATCCATTTCACAGGTGATCAAATAAGATAATGCATTTTTTAAAAAAGTGCTCTCTAAGCTCATGAAACACTATACAAAGTATTAACTCTTACTATCATTACAACAAATTCTCAAACTAAAACACTCAAGAAATAAATCATAGATGTACCATTTTTAACTTGAACATTCTATACCATGCAAAGGTACAGGACATTAGTTGCCATTATCAGCAGTCAATGCATCAATTTTCATTTCTCTGTGACTTCACTGTTGCCTTGCATTTCAACATCACACTTCTAAAAAAAACAAAAAAAGGATCCCAACTCCTCTATCACAGCACAAAGATAATGTAGAACCATAACTTTCATTCCTCTCATTCCTTCCATATGTCTTTAAGGTGTGTCTCATAGAATGTGAATGATAATGCTTCCATATTGTCCCTTTACTTTAAAGATTATCATTATGCTGTTCTACCACATCTGCACAAAGAAAGTCATCATCTTGAAAACCTCCTACCTTGTACTGTCTTTCAGGGACAAGTGACTCCTACTTAGGACAATCTGTGGGAAAACATAGCTTGTTGCAAATGTGATGCTGAGGGAGAACTCCTCAAACTTGGTAAAAGTTGAACCCATGGGGCTCCCACAAGTTCTCAGGGCTGTGGTTTGGCATTTCAGTAATATGCATATCTATACAGAAAATAAAAGTAGTCATAAAAATTTGAAAATATTCTCTCAGCTGAATTATTCTATTTCAGAATAGAGGAATGTTTTAGTTGCCTTTTAAGCAATGTTGTTTAATTTCAATTACAACTTACTTGTGAATTCTAATGCCAATTTAGTGAATCCAGATTTTATGTTTTTAGAGAAGACAAATGGAATAGAAACAAATTTTTAAAATCAGAGTGTATTTCACATAATCATAGCTATTTCAAATTCTAATTTGATTATTTCATAAACTGTTTAATTAAATATCTCTTTTAGAGATATGGCCATGTGGCTAAACTGGGTCACAATTGAAAACAGGAGACCTCAGTTGAAGATGATTTGAAAAACACTATTTGACCTGGTGGAAAAAAAAATGCACAGAAGTTTCATCTTTTTAAACTTAAACTTGACCTGCTAAGAACTAATCAATCTACTTTATGTTTTTACCTTGCCAAGAAAATTAACTCATTCTTGCTATGATGAAACAAATTGAGTGTTCTGGGTGAAAAAAAAAAGATTAATGTAACATTTTACCAATTTTTACTGACTCTAGCATAATTTTTAAAGAAAGGTAATGATGAACTGGAAGAAAAACTAATAATTATTAGTAATGCAATAAACACACTTATGCATGTTTACCTATAAGTAATATTGGCCTTCTACTGTGTGCAGTCCATCAAAAGCTCCCAGAGCATAGACCTCAT